TGTGAAAACAACAGGAACAAAGAGCCCTGAAGATGTTCTGATGGTCCAGAGGCAGAGGAGATCCACACTGAAGGTCCAGAGATGTTCTCCTGAGCTCTGTCTCCATGTTGTTACGGTGATGGAGCTGGTTCCAGGACATCTTCTGCTCTGGTTTTCAAACTGTTACATGACGATCTCACGTGATGTAGAAAGTGGACAACAGAACTGCTGCAGTCAGATTTTCTTGTCGTGGTTAAAATATCCAAGTCTTCATTTCTGTGCTATGGTTGGTCAGATGTATAAAGAGCCACATGTGGCCCCGGAGCCTCATCTTCTGATGGAGTTCATGGAGGAAATGTTTGGTGCACACGGAGAACTTTTCTCTTGTATTTACAATGAAAAATACAAGCGTCAAATAAAACCATCAGGCTCCACCACAGCTGATGCTTTTACCAGTTAAACCATCGTATAAAAGCTTGATACAGATATTTGATATAATAAGTCTGTGGGAGCAGTTACTGCATTTTATATTTATTTCCTGCATAAAACATTCAGAAGGTTTAAATGATGCAGATAAATCTGGTTATTGGGCTGCTCCTCTTTGTTAATGTACTTTAACCTGGATTTGAAACAGACCATGACACAAGAAGCAAAACTGCCCCAAGGTGTGCAAGAGACAGAACCACATCTGCACAGTGTGCATGCCTCCTCACGAGAGCACCACCCAGAACACCCACAGACTGTCACGTGTTGATCGGAACGGGTAATTCCAATCTCTTGCTCAAGGTGTGTCTGATACACTTGGAGATATTTTCAGACATGCATTCAGCGAGCCGAACTGAGGAAGTTGTTTTGGTTCTTAGATGAAGGACGGTAACTGCTTCAGCATTGCTGACAGTCTGTGTTGCTCACGCTTGGATCGAGCTCCTTGTTCTGAAGATCTCCTGGTCCTCCAGCAGCAGATGTCCTAGTTTGCTCCCCCAGACAATTTTGAATAAAGTCGATGCCATTTCCTGCGTTCTGGTGTATTTGAGCGGTTGTTAAACATCTAGATTTACCTGCACAAGTGAACACTTGATTCAGAAACTATTTTAGAGCTAATGGCACAACAAGAAGCAGCCTGACCAACAGCTGATTAATGAATTAAAAATATTATCTATTCAAAGGTGACGATTTGATGCCCACATCAAAACTAAATATCTGTAGTTGACTTCAGATGGAATAAGATTATCAATGAATGTTTGCAACAAAGTATTTACTGATTAATAATAATAATAATACTTTATTTATAAAGCCCTTTAAAACAACCACAGCTGCCACAAAGTGCTGTACATATAAAATCAAGAACATTTAAACACATAAAAACAGTTGTTAAAACATTAAGATCAATAAAAGTAATAAAAACTGTGCAGATCAAATTCAGTGTGTGCTAAAAGCCAGGGAGTAAAAATGTGTTTTTAAAGAGTTTTAAAACTGGACAGTGAAGGGGCTCGTCTGATGGGAAGAGGGAGATCGTTCCACAGTCTTGGAGCAGCAACAGAAAAAGCTCTGTCCCCTCTGAGCCTCCGCTTGGACCTCGGCACCTCCAGGAGCAGCTGATCAGCTGATCTGAGGCACCGAGCAGGAGAGTATGGGTAAAGCAGCTCAGAGAGGAAGGATGGAGCAAGACCATTTAAACTTTTAAAAACAAATAAAAGAATCTTAAAATGAACTCTAAAATGAACAGGCAGCCAGTGGAGTGAAGCCAGAGTGGGGGTGATGTGCTCCCTCTCATGAACTCCAGTTAGAAGCCGAGCAGCAGCGTTCTGGACCAACTGGAGGCGTCTGAGGGAGGACTGGCTGACTCCAAGGTAAAGAGCGTTACAGTAATCCAGCCGAGAGGTGACGAAGGCATGGATTACTGTTTCCAGCTGCTGTTTTGTAAGGATGGACTTTACCTTAGCCAGCTGAGGTGATAAAAACTGGTCTTGACCACCGCTCCAATCTGGGACTCTAATTTAAAATCACTGTCCATTTTAAAACCCAAGTTAGAAATAGTTTTCTTTACATGTGGTGCCAGAGGGCCCAGATCAACAGGGCAAGGTTCACAAGAGTCACTAGGACCAAACACCATCACTTCTGTTTTCTTTTCATTGAAATTTAAGAAGTTTAAAGACATCCAGGCTTTGATGTCTTCAAGACACAACAGAAGTGGCCTGATTGAGGGGGCATCTTTCTTTTTAAGTGGCATATAGATCTGACTGTCGTCAGCGTAACAATGAAAAAAGATCCCATGCTTTCTAAGGATTGATCCCAATGGAAGCAGGTAAAGGGAGAAAAGCAGGGGACCTAAAATAGAGCCCTGTGGAACCCCAAAACACAGAGGAGCAGTGGAGGATTCAGACCCAGCTATGATGACAGACATGGTTCTGTCTGCCAGATAGGACCTAAACCAGCTCAGTGCAGTACCACAAATATGGGTAACAAACATTCCTTCAAGAAACCTCCCAGTATAAATCATAAAACCAGAATGACTTCTGCTTATTCTAAATTGGTCAAATGGTCTAAATCTCCTAAAGTGAAGGAGAATCATGTTAAATTAATAAGATGTATGCTGTGGCCATATTTCTTGAAATAAGATTCAAATTTGAGGTTGATTTGTGTCTTTTGTAAATCACAAGATGAATCCCTCGAACATTTTTCTTTCATGTCACTACAAAGTGTTTGTTCAGACATCAGAAACTGGATTAATCTCAAACTCAACATTCCTTCTGTTCATGCTGAAAACATTTCACTTTATGTGGATAACTGAAGCTCAGCTTCCTCTGATGACATAAATATAGTTGTACTTACAGCAAAGTACCACATTCACTGTAGTAAGAGGAGAGATAATGAGACTTCCTTCCTGTTTGATGAATAATTTGAAGTATTCTTCTTAAGTAGATTAAAAAAACTGCAAACCTGCTAAGGGGCGTTTACCTTCGGGACAATTTGAGGTCGTCGATTGGTCAGTTACTGACACGCCTACTGGATTGATTGACAGGTCGCACCGTGGAGGATCAGACTCAGTACAAAACAAAACAAACAAACAACAAACAAACAAAACAGCCAGAGAGCTGTAGCAGCAGTCTCTCTGCAGCGCAGGGCTCCAGGAGATGACCAGAGACACTTCCCAGTTGCCCGTATGGTTAATCCAGCCTTGAGCTCCAGACATCCTCCTGTGAGATGAAGTGATGTGTGAACTTCACTGAGCACAGAGCAGAAACCAGAACCAACTCTTTCTGACTGACTTGAACTGGTCAGAGCTGGGAGCTTCTACCAGATATTCCAGTTTCTATGTTCAAGCTGCTCCTAATAAATCTCTTGTTGTTGTTGTTGTTGTTGTTGTTGTTGTTGTTGTTGTTGTTGTCCACCAGGTGGCGCTGTTTGCACTGACACTTTGCCCTCATCAGTCCTCCAGCTGGATGAAGGAGATGCAGATGGTGTGCAGGGTGGTGGTGCTCCTCATCCTCAGCTCGTGTCTCTGTGGTCAGTTTGGACCTTCAGTTTCAGTCCAGAACCATCAGTTCTTGTTGTAGATGGAGGTTAAAGCCTCCCATGTTCCAGTTGTCAGTGTGTCTGCTCCTCTCTGTCTCCTCAGCAGCAACATTTGTAGTGAATGTGACCCAGAGCTCCTCTCAGGCAGAGCAGAACCACAACATCACCCTGGAGTGGACCTTCACCACCACACCTGAGAGATCCTGGAGAGACCTGTTCATCTACTGCAGCTTGTTAGCTCCTCTCAGAGAGTCAGTCCTGTATCTGGTCCAGGAAGGTGTTGAGGTGTCACAGTTTCAGGATGAACAGTTTGCAGGACGAGTCCAGGGGGACAAAGACGTCCTCAGAGAAGGACGCATCAGACTCCACCTGTCCTCACTCAGGACGGAGGACTCTGGGACATATAAATGTGAAGTGAGGACCAAAGATGGTTCTGGTTATCAAATGTGTCGTCTGGACGTCTCTGGTGAGAAGAATTTAAATTCTCTTTGACTTCCTGATTAAACTCTTGATAATTGTTGACATGAACAAAACTCATTAGATTCAAGTTCAAACAGAACTTATTTGATGTTTCATGTTAGAATCTGTCGTTTCCTTCACAGCAGCTGCTGAGCAGCTCCTCACTCACAGACCAACCTGGACTCCACCACCACAGGGACAGACATCCATCATAATCTGGATTACACTGGGAGCAGGGTTGTTAATCTGTTTTTTTATTATTATTGTAGTCATACTTCTCATCATGAAGAAAAATAATCCACCTGTACAGATGAGAGTATCACAGAGAAACAAGATGACGTGCAGGAACACTCACAACCAGGCTGTGTGAGAGAGGCCAGCTGCTGCAGATACACTTCAAGCCTCTGAAAGCACTTTATCTAATGCCAATGTTGCCATTTCTGCTGATATTAATATGAAGTGCAGAACCACTAAGGAGCGGTTTCTACCCTGAGGCTGTTGGACTCATGAACCAGGATAATCACTGTGAAAAATGACACCACGTTGCTGCTGATCTGTTTCATGTTGCTGCTGATCTGTTTCACGTTGCTGCTGATCTGTTTCACGTTGCTGCTGATCTGTTTCACGTTGCTGCTGATCTGTTTCATGTTGCTGCTGATTCGTTTCATGTTGCTGCTGATCCGTTTCACGTTGCTGCTGATCCGTTTCATGTTGCTGCTGATCTGTTTCATGTTGCTGCTGATCTGTTTCACGTTACTGATGATCTGTTTCACGTTGCTGCTGATCTGTTTCATGTTGTTCATGCGTGCTCATCTGCTCACACTCATGTTCGTGCTGCTGTTTGATGGATTGTTTTTATACTATTATTACTTAAATGTATATAAAATTTTGTTTGACCTTCATAATCTGTAAAACATGCACTTTGTTTTTAATTAATAAAACGTTATATATTTATCCAGTTCCATTTAACTGATGTCTGTAGTAATTTGTATTTTTTCTGCGTTTTAAAACTTAAAGTATATAATTTGTTCTGTGCATCGTTTTAGATTTGAATGTTACAAAAAGTAACAGGACACTCTGATGATGTGATGCGTTCACTGACCTCAAACTTTACTTGTTCACAGGAAATCCTGCTTTTCAGTCCTGCTGAGCTTCTTTTATTCAAAGTTTGTCTGAATAAAGATGTCGACAAAGTGTAAATGAAAGCTGGAGACGTGACTTTAGTGAAACATGAAGAGGCTCGGAGCTGAAGATCAGGTGAGACGGAGCGCAGAAAGAAAAGTGACTCCGTTCAGATCGGGTCTGCACGGCTGACTGGAGCCATGAGACGAACAGGAAGTGAAATCACAACTATTAGTTATTAACAACTAGTTACATGTTGCAGACTGGTGGGATTAAAGAAACTCACCCAAAGCTCTCACCTTGAATCAGAACAACTCGTCTCCACGTTTCACAAAGTTTTATTCATTCCAACGACGACGCGCAGAGTTAGAACGTGACTCAAGGAGCTCGAACTAAACGGCTTTTTACTCGTTTAACAAACAAAACGCATCTTTCAGGAACGTTGTCAAAAATAAACGCTGGGAAAAGAAAAACTCGACAAATAAAAAGTTTCTGGTTAAATAACATATTTTTATTATAATCATCTATATTTATTGATAATCAACAGAAATATACAGCAGATAAACAATAAAAACAGATGTAGATTTAAGATCATCCCACCACACAAACAAGATTAAACCCAATAATAATAATCTTTAAAACTTAATTCCATGAATTTTAACAAAAGTCTCAAAAGAAAAAAACGTAAAAAACAAAATGAGCCCATTTGAAGATAAAAAGTAAATATTTTACTGACATAAAAACAAAGACATTTTATTTACAGCATTAAAATAGTTCGACTGACAGAAAGTTTAATGTTAAAGTTTCTGTTTGAACCACTGGAACGATCCAAACTAGATTAGATTGGGTCTTTTCTGTGGAGCTGTGTGAATATAAAGTTCATCTTGTTTTACTCATCATTTCATCCAGGCAGCACTTTTATTTTACACAAACCGCTCAGAGTTTGTGGAAACCTCTCGGCTGCAGGACGTTTGACCCGCTTCATCTTTTTACATCCAAGATCAAAGTTTAAGAACAAAACGAGTCGTGCGAGAGCGTCCAAGAAGCTCAGGTCAGAGGAGCAGGTGCTCCTGCGCGGGGGCTCAATCCCCAGACCTCCTGTCACCGGGGGTACCTGGTCTCTGCTGGACCGATAGTCCCACCGGCTGGATCCGACTCTAGTCTGGCTCCGACTACCAACAGAACCAGCCTCGGTCCCTCACTTCCTTCGCACTAGAGCATCCTGCTCTACGAGCTCAGTGAGGTTTGAGGACGAGCCTCGTGCACGTCTAATACGAGACAATGTGCGACTCGTGGTTCTGGATCAGTCCCTAGAAACCAGTCTGTAGCTGGTCCTGGTCTTTGAGATTCAAATCTGCAGAACCACCTCTGAGCTCCGACACTATGAACACGTAGCATCAGACCATCGCATGTTTGTAGAACATACAGACGTTCAACAGGTCCTTTACAGGGTTTAGTGCCTTGCCCAAAAGCACTTAAACACTTGTGGTGACTGGAAATCTCACCACTGACCTCAGAGTCTGAGGATGAGCCACATTTGACCCATTTTCCTGCTTTGCATGTGCAAACCTGTTCAGAGGCACAATAATACTGTTTCTTTAGTAAAACAAGTGAAAATATCACCGAGTGTGAACTTAGTGTAAAGTGCATTAGTGCTTAGTTCACTTTGACGTCAGCTGAGAACGAGTTTGATTCCCGTCACTAAAACTCATTGTTGAGCAGCAGCCCCGATTCTAGAGCTGCTGATCAGTCAGCGCTGACCTTTGAACCTTCATTCAGGATCATTTAGCTGCACAAACCAGGAGAACGGAGCTTATTTGGGCGGTTCAGGGTTACAGTGCCTTGCCCAAAGGCACTTCGACCTTCCAGTTGAAGGATGAGTCGAGGTCGACCCTTGTTTAATGCTTCACATTCACGTAAACGTAGTAAAAAACAACTTTTCTTCTGAAATCTTTATAGCAGCAAAGTGTCTGAGGCAGCTTCACGGGGGTTTCAGCATCTTGCCTAAAGACTTTTAACTGACAGAAAGACGAGATCAACGCTTTACTTCCTCACGTTCATGTAAACTGGCTCATACGAGGTTAACGCAAAGACCTTACACTGAAATCTTTCAGACCTACCAAGCCATTCATAGCAGCATAAACGTTTGAACGTTAAAGTGCGTTTTGTTCGAGTTCAGCTGTTGAACTTTCAGAATAAGTTTTGTTCCTTCATCAAAACTCATTCCAGAAACGACGGATCAGAACGGTTCCAACAGAGCTGCACGTTACGCTGATGATGCGTTCGTGTTCCTGAAGGACACCTGAAAACTGCTTTTAGGCATGAACTCTCCAACGTCTGATCCCGGTCCTGCTGGGCAGGTGGAACGTTTGGATGTTGCATCGAAGCAGCTCGAGCCAACTAAGAAATGTTTGGTTTAGATTAGAACAATCACTGACTCGCCATCGCTGCTGTCACACTTTGGTTTTTACCTCATGTTGGAGTTTTGTACTCGTCTTTATCGAGGTTAAAAGGTGGAGAGCTGAAGCACATGTAAAACGTTAACGTGACGTTTCTGATGTCGGTGTAACGTTCATCGTGTGTTCCTGGTGCGTATCAACAGCCGGTGCTGCTGTTGACCCCCGGCTGTTGGAGCTGATTCTGCAGCAGACAGAAACAGAAGTGGTGTCGGGAGCTTCCTGCTATGGTGAAGGCTTCATTCGGCTCAGGGCCACGGAGTCGTCGGACCGTAACCTGATCCGTGTTCGCTTTCTAACCTCCAGCACCAACAGCTGCTGTTTCTCACTGCTGACCAGACCAACTGTTTCCAACAGGAGCTTGACGCTGGTCACCTGCTGGATCGTGCTGCTAACAGAACCACACTGTTAACAGGACCATGCTGCTAATGGGACCTCGCTGCAAACAAGACCACACTGTTAACAGGACCACACAGCTAACAGGACCACGTTCCTAGCAAGACCATGCTGCTGACAGGACCACACTGTTAGCAGGACCATGTTGCTAATGGGACCTTGTTGCTAACAGAACCATGCTGTAAAAAGACCAAACTGCTAACAGAACCATATTGCTAACAGTACCATGCTGCTAATGGGACCTCGCTGCTAGCAGAGCCACTCTGCAGACAGTACCATGCTACCAACAGGACCACGCTGCAAACAAGACCACACTGTTAATAGGACCACGTGCTAGCAGGACCACGCTGTTAGCAGGACCATGCTGCAAAAAGACCAAACTGCTAACAGAACCATATTGCTAACAGGACCATGCTGCTAACAGGGCTGTGCTGCTGGCGGGACCACACTGCTAACAGCACCATGCTGCTAATGGGGCCATGCTGCTAACAGGACCATGCTGTAAAAAGACCAAACTGCTAACAGAACCATATTGCTAACAGGACCATGCTGCAAAAAGACCAAGCTGCTAATAGAACCATATTGCTAGCAGGACCATGCTGCTAATGGGACCTCGTTGCTAACAGTATCATACTGCTAATGGGACCACTCTGCTAGCAGAGCCGCTCTCCAGGCAGTACAATGCTACTAACAGGACCACATGCTAGCAGGACCACGCTGTTAGCAGGACCATGCTGCAAAAAGACCAAACTGCTAACAGAACCATATTGCTAACAGGACCATGCTGCTGGAAGGACCGCACACACACACACACACACACCGGTGTTACAGTCTCATTGTTCCCTCTGCTGTTAAGTTCTTCTATATAACGTTGCTGCAGCGTAGCTCTGGTGTTCACAGGGGGGGGGGGGGGGGGGGGGTG